GGTAGAGCTAGGTGATGGTGAGCCGCCTAAGGATGAAGTTCTAAAGCAGCAAGCCACTAGCCCTGAACATTTGCGCACCCATTTTCCCAAAAATCCCTACTGTCCTTTGTGCCATATAGCAAAAGATACCGCCATGAGGGTTTCACATGTCAAAGATGGCAAAGCCGATGATTTTGTTGATCCCCCAAAGCAGCCGCTGGAACAGCTTGCTACTGATGATGTTATCTTAGCTAAAGGGTCCGAACACTTGGGTGTAGGTATAGGGGGAATAAGGTCGCATCATGTCATCCGCGATGCGTACTCTGGTGCGCGTGTTGCATACCCATTGTCTAAACGTACTGCTGACGCGCATGCTCGCAACTTTAGACATTTCTTAGGATTGCGTGGATCAGAGCTCACCACCCGAACGTTCATCAAAATGGACGAAGCAGGCGAGCTTGAACAGGCGGCACATGCCGTAGGCATGGTTCCAGAAACCTCTTTGCCGAACAGATGGCCCCACAATGCCATCCTCGAGAGAGATGTTCGAGAGGAGAAAGAATGTTGCCGCACTATTCACCTCCAATCTGGCCTTCCCTATGAGTATCACACATATAGCTATCCATATGCTTGCCTTTCAATGTCATTCGACAAGCCTTCAATAGCCGACCCCGACAAAACCCAATGGGAGTCGCTTACTAGGAATAAGTTTGATGGCATGAGGTTATGCTTTGGTCAGTTAGTGTATTACCGTAGGAAGTCACCCACCAAAAGGACTTTGGAGCCCAACATGTCACCTGGTCTATTTTTGGGTTGGAGGATTGATCCCGGTTTCCGATATAGAAATATCTTAAGGGTGTTAGATTACCAAGAGTATCGCACTAGAGGTGGGAATTCAGCCGTTGATGTTCCAGAAGCAGAAATCTTTGTCCCTGAAGGTGATCCTGTTTTTCCAGTAGGTTTTTCACGCCACCAAGCTCTCATCAGGGGGGATAACCCAGATGATCTTAAGTTGCCTGAATATGCCTTAAAGGATGTGCCCTTCCCCAAGGAGGGCGGAATAGCCTCACCCTCTACACCAGGTCTCAAAAGTCGTTCTGTTTATATAACCGTAGACCGTATCCTTAAGTGGAAAGAGACCCCTGGTTGCAAAGGCTGCACTGGCCATTCGCGCGTGCACACTGATGAGTGCAGAGCCCGCTTCGCAATGTTGGTTGAAAAAGAAAAAGAAGCCGAAAAAGAAAAGAAAGCTCCACCTCCCACAAGTGAGACAGAAGCAGAAGACAAGGATGATGAAGCACATGGCATCATCTTCCGCGGTGAGGATCTGCCCGATCCCGATCCGATACCATCTCACCTCTCCGTAGAGGACAGAGCACTGGTTGAGGAAATCTTCATAAGAGGTGAGGTACCAGGGTCATCCGAACCCAGCGCTCCAGCCGAGCCTGCTGTTTCTGTCTCTGGTGTAGCTATTCTCCCACAAGTTGCCAATCGATGTTCCGACCTATGTCAAAAGTCGCTGCCTGTTTTTGGTTGCCCCGCTGTAGGTAAGCCAACTAACCGCGATAATCGTAGGAGCCGGAAAGCTGCCAAGAAAGCTTCCAGACCCAATGCCAAGTCAACCATGTTTGAATTTGCTTGTTCTGAGGACTCCCAGATGGGTTTTACTCACCAAGAATATGGCATTAATCATGTTAGACTTTGTAAGGATAGGATAGACCTGGGAGATGAGTCACAATGTGAGCAACTAGACTATCAGATAGATGAAGCCGCTAAGGTTGCACCTCCACATATGTGGGCCTCTATCCCTTGCACATCCGGATCCCCTTGGCAGTACATCAATAGGAAGAGGGGTGGTGCCGCATTCATTAGGAAGCTTGCCCACCAGGTCAAAGAGTCCAAACGGTTGTTTAAGAGTTTTTCTAAACGCGCTGAAAGGGTTCTCAATCATGGTGGTACTGTAACGTTTGAATGGCCAAGACCCTGCTCCGGCTGGAAAAGGCCTGACGTTGTAGCATTCTTTGAGAAGCATCCCCAGTTTATGACCGTTGGTTTTGAAGGGTGTACCGTAGGTTTAACCGACAGAAATGGTTATCCCATCAAAAAGCCATGGAAACTCAAGACCACTTCTCCCCGAATTGTAGAGGCGTTTCAAGATATGCGGTGTCGATGCCAGCAACCTCATTCCAGATGTGAGGGAGCTGAGACCACTCGCTCCGCAATGTATCCGCCCCAAATGACTAATCTAATTGCGCAAGCTTTGTATCCCTCAAAATGTGCCCAGCAGTCCGTTCCTGCTATGCCTTGCCGACCGGCAACCAGCGAGCCTCAACCCCATAGGGAAATTGAGCAGCACCTTAAGCACGTATCCCCATTAGCTGGTTTTGAAGATTTAGCCTTAGCTGTTGAATCAGACCCCACCGCTAATAGGTTGGTTACAGAACTTCTTGACCATGAACAATTGATCGCCCAAGCCTTCCACCTGGAAGACCCTAAGGCGCCAACGCCTGAGATCAAAGCTATGGTCACTAAGCTCTTATCCCGTGCAGAGATGCTGTCCAATCCCAAGGCCCTAGAGGCAATCCGCGCCGAAGCCGATGGTTTGGTTAAGGCTGGTACTTGGGATCTTGGCTCGGTCCGCGAGAAGGAAGATGTACGCAAAGAAGCTAAGGCTTCAGGTGTGTCAGTGCACTTTGGTCAGCTCATGACCATCGCGTCCATTAAATTCTACGAGCTTGCAGACCACCTTCACAAAATGAAGGGACGCATCGTGTACAGAGGAGACTGCGCAAAGGACGAACATGGTGCAGCCGCGGTTTACCAAGAACTCGGCGCAAACCCCACCTCCGTCCAAGGGCTAAACGCCTGCCTGGCGTATGGGTCGCTGCCGGGTAACCGCGCGACGGCTGCAGATGCAGTCAAAGCTTACGTCCAAGCACTGTTATCTTCCAAATACAAAACCTGGATTGAGCTTCCCCCGGAGCTCCGCCCTAAGTATTGGAAACAACAGTTTGTTAAGCCCGTAGTCCTCTTAATTAAAGCCTTATACGGTCATCCTGATGCCGGAGGCCTGTGGGAACAACACCTGAAAGTCATCATCAAGAACCTTGGTGGACAGGAAGTTCCAGAATACCCAGGAAACTTTTACTTCCCAGATACAAAGTTACTTCTGTCAACTTATGTAGACGATTTAACTCTAGCTGGCCCCGCCGACCAGCATGATGCATTCTGGAGTAAGTTAACTTCTGTGGTAGACATCGAACCCCCAGAGCCCATCTATAGGATTCTTGGACGCAACCATGTTGTTACCCCACTATCCAAGACCGAAGGTCATGAAAAATGTGCAGCCTTCCAAGCCCAAGATGGCATGGTTTTTGATATGGCAGACTACGCTCAGCAGACCGTAGATTTGTATAAATCAATAACTGGTGTCACCAAACTCAAACATGCTGCCACGCCATTTCCACCTGAGGGATCCATCACCATTGAAGATGATGAAACTAAAGGGGAACTAGCTCCAAATGCATGTAAGATTTTGATGAAAGCCCTTTGGTTAGGTAGACTTGCACGTCCCGACATCATCAAGCCTATCAATGATCTGGCCACAAAGGTCCAGTCGTGGTCCAAGGGGGATGATAAGAAGGTCCTAAGATTAATCCAGTACATAGCCTCAACCCCACACTACAGGTTAGTAGGTACCATTCAGGACAAGCCTGAAGACCTAGAGCTCAGACTGTTTGTCGATGCCGACTTCGCCGGCGACAGATCAACTGCACGCTCAACCTCCGGTGGCTTTTTGGTTTTAACTGGCCCTAGTTCCTTCTTCCCACTTGCATGGATTAGCAAGCGCCAAACATCCACTTCTAGATCGACCACGGAAAGCGAGGTTGTTAGTTTAGCCCATTCGCTTTATCAAGAAGGCTTGCCTGCCTTACAGTTATGGGAGCTGTTGCTTGCACGCTCCGTAACCCTTAAGGTCCACGAAGATAATCAAGCAACAATCCTAGTTGTGAAGAAAGGATATAGTCCCAAGCTTCGCCATATAACTAGAACACACAAAGTTAATTTGTCTTGCCTGTCTGAAGTCTTCAGAGATGACTCTGCCGAGATAGAGTACACTCACACCGATGACCAGGCGGCAGACATATTCACCAAGGCATTGCCTCCACACAAATGGGCAGCAGCACTAATTCTTCTAGGAATCCGTACTGACCTTCCCTTAGACCTCAAATCCAAAGCCTAGGTCGCTGTGAACATCCGTTCACGCGACATTAGCTGCTTAGGATACTGCCAATGCGCAGTGCGTGTGGAACAGGCGAGGGGGGAGTTGAAATATACCGACCCCTGAGCCCCACTATGTACAGCATAGGTAGTAGGTCTTATGTAGAGCATTGCCATAGCTATGAGTCCAACCGTAGTTCAATTTAGATACATCCGAAGTATGTACAGTATAAGCACCACTTACCTAGAAGCGTTAGGTAAGTAGAGGGTTGTAGGTAGAGGTAGGCTCCCCTTTTCCCCTAACCCAAACAACTACCTGGGTCAGGGGATTAACTCGTAGCGTTGCCGACCCTATGGCTCAAGTGCCCCGCGCAAAAGGGGCATTTGGTTCTTGTTTGTATGCAGGGTTTGGCGGATTGGTTCCCCACCTTTTGGGTTTCTGGTTCGACCCCCTGTTTCACTTAGATATATTATAATATATATAGTATATATAATATATGTATATAATATATAATATATATAGTATATATAATATATATATAATATATATAATATATAATATAATATATATATATATATATTATATAATATATATATATTATATAATAATATATATATATATATATATATATATATGTATATATAATATATATATATTATATATATTATATACCATTGGTTTTAGTGACCCTATTATCAGACAAACCCAGATTTGGGGACTTCTGCCAGTAGCGGCGTAAGCTCATGATTCCTACAGACGCCCTCAGGCTACTTGAAAATTGCCAATGCATCTTGGCAAGATGGGCTGTAGCATCTGCATCTTTGGGGCGACTTTGGGATGAGGGAAATGATGTGTGGTGTAAATGTTGGTATATAAGTGTGGTGTTGGTGTTGGTGTTGGTGTTGTTGTTGTTGTTGCTGTTGCTGTTGCTGTTGCTGTTGCTGTCGCTGTCGCTGTCGCTGTCGCTGTCGCTGTCGCTGTCGCTGTCGCTGTCGCTGTCGCTGTCGCTGTTGCTGTTGCTGTTGCTGTTGCTGTTGCTGTTGTTGTTGTTTTGTACCATTTTCGTCCATTGGTCAAATTTGGAAACATGTGATGTTATTGTGTCATTGTGTTTTTTAATCAACCTGAAACAACCAGTGTTTTTGAGCGGTTTGCACCACACGAACCTCAAACCAAATCAAACCTTCGGCATCACTGGTTCCCCGAAACTGCATATCTGAAAACTGAGTTATAAACCAACAGACAGCTATCATAAATCACTTAAACATCCCCATTTGTGTTGCTTAAATCCTATGTTTTGGTGAAATCTTCCCGGAATCGGCCACATCCGGTGCTTCCAGGCGTGTTGCGTGCGCGCTGACGGATGCACGGATAGCTGGGACTTGTATGCGCCCTGGCTACTCGTTGGGGAAGCCTCTCAATGGCCATGATTTGGGATTGTAATGGGAAAAACCATCTATCAACTGGTGCAGGATTTCGCTGGCCCATCCACAGTATGTTTGGCAGGAACGCGAGTGAGAGGGATGACTCTTTTTAGGAAATTGTAAGTTTTATTTGCACACCATGTTCTCTTGATGATGTGCTATTTTTTTAAACCCAATAAAAACAAATACACCCAATTGTACCACCTCCGCCCCGAATCATAAACGTTCAGAAACAACTCTATATGTTTCATCTTGACAAATCTTCACTCTATGGTGAAACAGTCGTATTGTTTGGTTGGCTGTCCTGAAAAATACGGTCCTTATAGATACCCACGACTACTTTAAGTATCCTATCCCAGTTGGATTTTCATCCACAGTCCCAGTTTCGTCCGTTGGGTTATCCCATTTTTCTACTTGATGTTCATTCCATTTTTTTGGAATATAGTATAGTAACCATCCCCCCCCCAAAAAAAAACGTGAAAAGTGAACTGTTACTAAAATAGATTGGTATTCTACCTTTCTTTTTTGGGGGTTACTATATGTGGGTGTAACCTAGTAGGCTATGTAGGCCCATATCCCTTGGATCGACCCTAAGAATCCAGTTGTGACCAGGGCAGCCCATTGCGATCCTTTTCCCCAGATATCCACATTCTATCCACATTCGATCTGGTTGGTGGTTTGGAACTTTTGGAACCATGGAATTTTGAATGACTTTTGCATGCAGTTGGGAATTTAATGATCCCAACTGACTTTCACTCATATTTTTCAGAGGGGTAGGGCTCAACCACCAACCAGCTATCTTTGTTTTCCCCGCTGTTTCTTGGTTCAGTTTTATCCACCTAGGGACATAGCCTCGAATTTGATATAGAAATAACCATTGTCTTCCCCATTTTCAGATGGTCATGTTGGGAATACCAAAGATTTTCAGACAGACCATGACACAGCCATATGGGGGGGTTCCAATGTCATGGGGATACCCCAATGGCTGGATTTAGGGGTACCCTCCATGACTTAAGACCCCCCCCCATATCCTTAGATATCCACATGTCCACGCGTCCACATGTTTAGGAACCCCCCATCTTGGCTGTTGAGTTTTCCAACACTAAGAGCTGAGCCATCACAGTCCTGTCACCTTTGTTTATCCAACTGAAAGCTATCATAAATCACCTGATCTTTCTGTTGGTTATATAAATTCAATGTTCTTTGGTGTATACTTATACGTATGTATAATATATATATATATTGTATGTAATGTAACGTAACGTAATGTAACGTAATGTAATGTAACGTAATGCAATGTAATGTAAATGTAAATGAAAATGCAAATGTAAATGTAATGTAATGTAATGTATGTAATTATAGCTATGTATATCTATGTATATATATATATATACATACATATATATATATACACATATATTTATGTACATATACTTGATATGTCATATCATATATCCCGCCAAACTTCCCATGAGTTCTATCCGCATTCTAAATCTTAGGAGTTTGCCATCTACGACACTGCCGGAGAGCGCATCATGACCAGCTCGAGAGCCTCGCTTCTCGGAGCTCGGATTGTGGTTGGTTGTTGCCCTCTGGTACTTGGAGGATCATCCCATGAATCGTAAAGTGGTTACCCGGCCTGGTAAACATACAAAAAGCTATTGAACATGGCAATTGAACTAGTGGGTTTACCCAGAAAATTTTGATTTTCCATAATTAGTTATGTAAACGTTTACCAGAGGGTAATAAGTGGAGTTATAACTTATAACATCTTATAACCCACTTATAAGTGGGATAACCCCTGAAGCATTGGGCACTTACTCCCCAGGCTTATTCACCATTTACGCTTGGACCGTGGGATGACCCTCCAAGCAACGCTTGGAAAATCACAACGTCGCTGGCAGATGGTCGTCCCCTTTCTCTCAAGGACGTTGTGGAAGCGAAAAGCCGAAAGACCTCTTGAACCCTGTGCAATCCCACTTATAACCAGTTATAACCACTTATAACCACTTATAACTAATAAATGGCCATAACTGTAGCAACCGTGTGTAAGTGATGCCGAAACACCTTTCGAACTTTTGAGATGCTGGCCTTCACCAAAAAAACACCACAGCCCTTGTCCCCCTCACCAGTCCACATAGGGGTTGATGCTCACCAGGGTGGTCAGCTTGTTGACCCCAAACTCATTTGAGCAATAAATTGCGAGAAATGGGTGGGGTAAAGTAATGGGTGCTACTTCAATCTCTGTTTTTCGCTATTAAATGAGGATTTAATCGAACTAGCCAGCTAGGCATTGATTTTTGTGCAACGTATTTCAGATTGGCAATGCTGCACCATCATTGCAGGAACAAACGTGGACCAGGAAGCGCTTTAAAACCAAAATTATGGGGAAGTAAACACACAAACGTGGGTCTTCGATCAGCGTCTTGCAATGGCTGGATCAACACCATCAAATGGGTCAGAGTTCTCTGAATCTGCAGAGCAAATGATTTTTTTCAAGGTTGACAAAATGGCGCCAAAATGTTGGGGGAAGAAATATACCACCCATCGACTACACAACTGAACGTGGTTCGGCTACAACCATGAGGAATCAACAAAATATCAAAAATGGAAAGATCATGGCGTTCATCGCCCACGCACCCGGTTCACCCCACTTTCTGTGGCTAGGATTCATCTAAGTCTGAGTAGTGTTGCTAGGTTTGTGGGATTTTGTGTCAGAATGGTTTTCTCTTGTTGGTATGTTCTTCATTTGTTTCATGAACACGTTTATTGTCTCGATCCCCATCTTGTATCTTGTATTGTTCAAGTTGAATCATGTTGAATCTAGACCCCAAATTCTTACAAGTGCAAAACCCGAAATTTGTGGTTGAATTGGTAAATTAGCCATTTTGGTTGGTTGATGATTTTTGCTTGTCAGCGTCATTTTTTTCAGGCAGTCTGACTCCCCATTCAACTCATCCAACTAGAAATTTACCAACCAACCTGGTCACAAGGTGGCGCCCCTGGCGCCCCCCAGTTAAACGTGGTTTGCATTAGATATATCTTCCGTAAACCATAGTCGACCTGCCAAACCAACTTAGCTATCGTTTGGGGGGCCCACTTTGGGTTTTAAATCAACTAGGTGAACTATTGTTTGTGGATATTTGTGGATATTTGTGGTATCTGTAGTTAATTGGCTTTAATCATGTTTAATTTCCATATCCCCAATGATGTTGGTTCAAATGGAGTTTTAAACAACCGAAACCTATGCTTGCAGCCTCACATTGTAGTTTTGGCTCAGCGGAGGTCCGGCTACGGCAAATCCAACACGGAGGGGATGCTGGGATTGGAAAATGCCTGTGAGATACCGCGGGTGCTATCCATTACAGTTGGTAAATGGTAATATCAATAGCCATCCGGGTGTGACACCTCATATCCTAATATGATATCGAGGCTCATCACCTGACCAGCAAAATGCTGATTTTTGTTGGCAAGGCTGAAAGCAGCGGCCGCTCACCCAAGCAATGCTTTGAAAGTCTGCTCCAAAAACTCGGAAACTGAAGGTTGCTATCTACAGGGAAGCATCAGAAACTGCAGGTTGCGATGGTTTGTTGTTTAATGGCCGTGGCCAAGGCGCATATGCACCTCTGGTTGGCGCCATTACCTGGTTAGTCAATAATAGGTGCGATGCCATCAAAGCAAAGTACCGCCCAAATTCTTGAGCAATTGTTTTTGGCATTTTTTGGCCAGCGTAAGTGGCAAAAACACCAGCAAATTTGCCAACTTGTACATGTATTTCAATGCAGGCCTGCCATGTTGTGCTTCGCAGAATTCTACGGAGGTTTTGTCGAAAATTGGGGTACCGGTTAGCTCTAAATCATCCATTTTAGGTTGGGATTTTCCATGAAATAAACCATCCAGCTATTGGGTATCCCCCATTTTAGGACACCACCATATCTGCAAGGACTAAACTTCCACCTTGTGAATCTATCATGCCTAGGAAGGCGTTGGATTTCAATACGGACACTTGGTGGGAAGGTGCATCGGGGGGATAGATGATTCAGGAGGCAGGCGCATGTTCTTGAAATGGGGTCCAAGTATCATGCAAAACCACTGGTGAAATAGAGGATCACCATTTTCAGCAACATACTGTAACATACGTGTGTTTCTTTCCGTATATACATCACTTAATTGTGATATATTGTGATCACCACTGACATGTTGTTAACTGTTTGGAACCCAACAACCATGTGTGTTATCATTTGGTGAGAGGTTTGTAGCAGCTATTTGCCCATGATTCTCGGCGAGATACCATGGCTTTCGCCAGCGTTTTTGCGCCAGGAGATTATGACATTGGGATGGGCTGCGGCTGCTGGGAGGAACACAAAGTCGGAGGTGGCCGCCGGACCAAAACGATCTCCACATGGTAGCCCCGGCTAGTCATGTCATATGATCATATTTGGGAGTGCAATTCTATGTATAGGTGGATATAATCACCTCTCCGGAATACCAAACCCTCCTAAATAAACACCTGGAGGAGTTTTTAATATTAGGGGATATTTAGTATTAGGGTGCGAAGTTCCCCCCCTATACTAAATTATAAACTTTAATAACTTTAAAAAAGAACTAAAATGTTCGATTTCAAAGTCGGTTCAATTCATGTTTAAGCTCTAATTAAAATATTGCCAAAAAATGGAGTTCGACGCTTTCCCCTAATATTAAATTAAACACCTTATTTACACAACAAAAAAACATTTTAAAAGACGAACCTTAATATAAAACATCTCGGTGTTGACTAGTTTTCATTATTAGGGGGTGCAACCCTCAAATGGGATCTTCATGTTTAACGTGTTGTCTAAAGCGGATCAATTAAGAATCGAATTGCCCAATTTGAAATGTCCCAAACTTGCAAGTCGACCCTACAGTAGTGTTTAGTATTTTGGGTACGTCTAGTAATAGGGATAAGAGATGACTTCACCAGGTTATACTATATTATGCCCCAGTTATACATGGGATATCCCCAGCTATATACAGTTCTGGCCCAAAATACTAGTTATAATTCAATAAGTCACCATCTATCAGTTATAATTCAATAAGTCACCATCTATCAGCATAATAATCACTGGTAATATATGCTTACCCTCTGGTAATTTAACATAGCTATTGAAAATGGCCATTTATAGTGGATTTTCCCATTAATCATGGTGATTTTCCATAGCTATGTTAGTTTACCAGAGGGTAAATCCCCATTTTCCTCGTGTTTTTCGATGGTTTTTCAACTATCATCTGAAACATCTCGGGGTCAACATGGTCAACAATCAACCCGGGCCGTCCAGGTCAATGGATGATTGTGGACCTGGGCGAGCCCAAAACCGCGACTTCACCCAGATGCGAACCATGGTCCAATGGTGCTGGAATATGCACACCAACATTTAGCCCCAAAAATTGCCCAGTTTTGTAGGTAAATATATGTAAAATTATGTAAATATTCCAGCACCATGGAGCATCTGGGTCATATGATTTGATGGTATTTATGAACAACATTCAACACCAGTGTTTTTGCCTCAGAAAAAATGATGTCATCGTGTAAAATTGGTGATCTTTATCGTGACATAGTGAGATATCATATGATACAATCAATTTAATACCCATAGGATCCATGTATGCTATATATGGTAACATTTACCATCAATATACCCCCAATGTTAGTATATACCATACATGGATCCTATGGGATATGATTTGGGTTTGCTTGAATGAAATTGTACCCCTGGCAAGTGGTATTTAGGACCTTAGGATTGACGGCACCTCAAACCACTGGATTGGGGGAGATTGTTAGGATTGGGGAAATCATCCCCAAATGGTTTCAAATCTGGTTTGGGAAAGATTAACAAAAAACATAGGACTCCAGGGTTGAGGTTATAACTATAGTATAACCGGGATTCACAGTGAATATACAATTGGATGGGTGAACATAAACCGACAAGCGGATGACTTTATTCCAACGAGATTTCATTCGTCAATGGAGAAGCCAGATACCAATTCAATGACTAGCCACTACGCCTGATGATTTGCTGAACAAAGTAGCCAGTAGCATCCAATAAGTGATACCCTCTGGTAAACTAACATAGATATGGAAAATCACCATCTTTAAGTTCGGTAAATCAACTAAAAATGGGCCATGTTCAGTAGCGAAATGTTCGTCATTACCAGAGGGTAACTGGATCACAACACGTCAACATCCCCAAGAAATCGTCCCCACGAATCACTACCTACCCAGCGTCATGGTGATTTAGCCACCAACATCTTTTGGATGCACTTAGTCGACTTAGTCACTTCGAAGCCTGGCCGATAACCTGGAGAGATCATGAAAAATCTGATTTGAGGATATGTTCAATGGGAATTTCAGGATCCTAAAATGGAGGTACGTTAGTACCATATATGGTAGGTACCTCCTTTTTTTCGGTGGGCAAATCTGAGGCATCGGAAGTGAGGAACTGTGGTGAACCACCCGGTTGGGGATATGTGGCGCCATAAGCGGAACTGTTAAGTTTTACCCTCTGGTAAACGGTTACATAACTATGGGAAGATCCACCATTTTCTAGCTGGGTAAATCCACTATTTCTATGGCCATGTTCAATAGCTATGTAACAAATTACCAGAGGGTATCACCTTCCCGTTTTTTGGAACCGATATCAACACTGCAAACAATCTGCGCAAAAGTTGAATTTTCTGAAACAGACATCTCAGCCATGGGTCGTGGCAAGCAGGGTGACAGGGGTGATGACGGTGGAAATCCAGGCCAGAGATCGGCGGAGGATCCACGGGTTCTGCGGCTCCAAGGTCCAGGACGATGAAGATTCAGATACTGCCTACACTTTGCTGCTCCAGGAAGACTTGCAGTCTCTTCAGCGGTGCGAATCTTCCCGGTAGCGAGGGAAGTTCTTCGAGTTCTTTGACGTCAAGTTCTGCAGTGAAAGTAAGGAACCCATGGTGAAGTGGGTTTGATGCATCAATCTGGGGATATTACCATTCGGTTGCTGCATATTACCCACTTACGATTCCTGCCCCAAAATTTGTTTTCGGACCTTTTCCGAGAAAATCTGAACCCCAATCACGTGGTGGATGTTTGTTTTTTTACCATCGTCTCCGGATGTTCCGCGTTTCATGTTCATTCATTTTCCATGTCTTTCCCCACAAAAAGTCCACAATCATGGCCCCAAATACCGGTTACAGTATAAGTCAGATTACAAGCCCATTTATGGTTACTTCTATATAAGACAGTTATAAGATGTTATAAGTCAGTTATTATAACCATAGAAATCACCGGTTTCTAAGGCTTTTCACCCTGCATCGGCTAACTTTTCTCCGGTGCCCCCCCCTGACCCGAGGTGAAGAACATCATGGTCATCCAGGGCGGTGTCAATGACGTCTGGGCCGTCTCTCAGGCCAGGCCGCTGTTGACTACCCAAGATTGACCATGCTTTGTGGTAGAGAATGGATGGTAGATGTTTTTTACTATCTTTCACTATAATTTTGAACTGGTGATGGTGGACATGAGCCAACAACACCGCCACCTTCAAGAAGAAGAAAGAAGCAACCTGATCCCAGTGGGACAATTAGGCAAAGGCTAATGACCAGCAACCCCCAAATCACTGTTGCCCCAAATTTGCGTTTGGACATTTGTCGCTGAAAATCAGCAACCCCCATATCCACTGGAAGAATTCGGAATTGTCCCAATTATCCCGTAGAAATTGCAATTTGGAGACACCTGATGGACACAGCCATATAGATTCTCCAGCGGTGGATGAATGAATGGTTGTTCACATAGAAAAATAAGGGATTCATCATGACGTGTAGTTGGTTAGCCCATATTGCTAGAATTATTTTTATGGTTAACTACAGCTTCCAAAACCAACTGTTTTGGGGTTTGCCAGAAAAAAAAAACATGTCTTTCTCAAATAGTTCGTTCTTTCTCAGCAAGGCATTTGTTTGCGGGAAATTACGGGGAAATTATGGGTAGAAATCTGGAAAACCGGATTTTTCTAGGAGGCCAACTTAGTGAGAAGGCAACTTAGCTAGCGTTTTGGGGCACCACCAAAAGCATGATCCTTGCTTTACATTGCTACATTCCATGAAATCCCCATAAAACATCCCCATAGCATATCCCCGTAAAATATCCCCATTTGTCCCAGGCAACTCTCCATGTTCATTACATTCATGCTTCGACAGTGCCAATAAAGTCCACGATACACTATAGTTGGTAAATTAAACATCCCATCAAACATTATATATATATATATATGTGTGTACTATGTGTGTATATATATATATATCCCTATGGATCCAATTGCCTTCTTAGGAAGTACTTGGGGTATGATTTAGGGGGCCAAGTACCTTCTCAGACAGTGTTTGGATCCATAGGGTAAATATATACATATATATATATATTTAAAAAAAAACATGTGGTAGCGCCTGAAACCTGCCTTTTCACTATTTCTACTGCACCTCCCATCACTTCGGGCACCCTCCATGGTACCTCCACGTCAGGTGCAGATAGAGTGCTCCCAAGACATGGCACCTCGATGCGGATCTGGGCGGATTTTAGATGAGCCGATTTATGGGTACACTAAATTCAAAGCATACAGATTATATCTTGTTATATATATATGAACTAAAATCCATCATATATAGTGTATATATCTATACATATATATATACAGAAAATTATTCCACACAACATACAGATGTACTTATTTGATATAGTTTTATATCGTTTTTTTTGCAATATGCACAGATGTATACATTGGCAAGTCAGTAAGTTGTGTAGGCAATGTGAACACCAACTTTTGTGGCTTAATTCTGTTGAAATGGGTGTGTCTGAAACTGCGGTGTATCCCCAAACTGCCATCTAGGGAAACTGATGATAAGCCATTGGAATTGGGGATACTATTTTTTCTGGGTTTGCTCAAGGTGTAATTTTTCAAATAGGCAATTCACCATTTGGGGGATCTTTAAGGAATATTTTTTTTTCCCCATAAAAATAACCATTTTCCTCTGGGTTTTCCATCAAGGCCCTATGGGATTTCCATCAAAAATCACCGATCAAAAAACGGGCCAACCAACCAAGGTCACTTGGGACCGATCTCCGTTGCGTTTCTCTGTGCCCTGGCGGCGGTTGGAGCGCGGCTGGATGGGAAAACCATCGGACAAATCATAGGAAAATGGGGATTGAACCAGGAAAAATGGGGATTTAATATGATTTTATGGGATTTCTAGGCCTAGAAACTATAGTGATTTTGATGACTTACTGATTTACAACTCGTATTTCGGGCCATGACCGTGTGGTATGTATGGATGTAATGTAGATGTGATATATATATATACATACCTAAGTTGGGTGTGTTTTTCATGATCTATCACATCTGGTTGTCCTGTTAACAACGGGCGTTTTCGACCATGGCGACCATTTCTTGAAACAGCCGGATGTAGATCCAGTGGTTTTACTGCAGGATTCGATGATCTATGACCCATGGATAATTCGATTAGATCAACCGACCCATCCGTTGACAGATGTTCAGCAATCAATGTTCACAGGTATTACTATACCCATTATATCCCATTATATAAGTTATTATGTAAGTTACAAGGATTCCCAACAATGGTGAGATGACCGCAACCCTTTTTTATACCATGCAACTTGACCTTTGGCACCCATGGCATGTGGTAAACGTACTAGCCTAGATGAGTAAAATACCAAACTTGTATGAGTCACTGATTCCCTTGAACGGCGAAGACCTACGGGGTGCCGTTACAAGCTGAAAAAGCTCGGGCTTCGAAGCGGACGACGACAAAGAGACGTCCATATTTCCTGTTCGAATTCTTCGTGTTTTTGGAAGAACGGAATTTAACCACCACCATTTGTGGACAAACGCAATTAGATAAATCCCAAATTGTACCATTGGGAATCCCATGCGGGTGATGATGTTGTTATCCAATACCATTCATGGTCCATATATGATCATCTCATATGTCTTGTCCATACATTCTCATCCCATAGTCGTTGATTGACATGCCATGGTGCAAAATTCGTTGTGTTTTTGGTGATGGCTGCCATGTCAACCCCATGATTTGATACTCTTTTATGGTACCTTCCCAATTTTTCACAGCCTACCCATTTGGGGTTTATAAATCATTAAACAGCACATGGCCCCCCGCAGCGTCTTTGATTGTTTTGAAGCCACAAAAAGACCCACTCAAACTTCTCATCCAGCTAAGACATCGATCGAGAGGGCCGCAAAACTTACCCAGGTGTCCTATGGACAGACGCAACTTCTTTGCAGCCAACAAGGTCATCTTGTTTGTGGTGAAAGGTAGTTTTTTTTTCCTTCGTTTTCTCATTTGTTCAGGTCATCACCATTTTGGTTGGTCGAAACCTTGGGTTACCCCATTCCATTCACTGGTGAAGCACCATGATTGTTATATGAAATGGCCATGAATATCATGAATTGGGGGTCAACCTTCCATTTTCACACCCGTTTGAAATGAATTTGGTGGTGACAGGTAAGTTGATGGGTGACTTGCTTGCTACACACGGAGAAACATAATGGGGTTTGATCACGCATACAGAGTGAATACCAAGTCTGCTATCATAATCATAATTAAAGCCATGTCAAAGTTCACTCATGGTACAATGCGGTCACAGTTATTTGATTGCAACATAATTGTTTAATTGTACAGTCAAAGCCCTAACAGTTATAATAACTGGGACTATTTCATGATATATAACCTTAGTTGTAGGAGTTATATTCCGATTTATAGCTGTTAGTTGGGCCATGACTGTAGTTTGAATGTAACGGATAGCGCTGCTACTTTCACGGACTTCGCTGTCGGCTACCGAAGTTGAACCATAGGAAGGCAAACCCAAATGTGCAATTTTCCCCCCTGAGTAAGATTGTGTTTGAACCCATCTAATTATAGATTCAGATACATCTACCATGATAATTAACCATAGATAAACCATAATAAACTTAGATTAATCCAGTTATAAGTTATAAACCCACGTATACCTTGTGGAGACAAACCTTACACAGATGGGACTGACCCAGCAGACAAATTTGCGACACCGACGCGTTCTTTTTGGCTTCTGAATCCGCGGTTCCGATAGTCATGGCCACCTGTTAGGACTACTATGGGGTGAATGGTAGGTTCAGCCAGCATTGTGAGGAAAAGTCACAGTTTCCACACCAAGGGCTGGATAAGAGGGGATGATGTTACTGACATTCATGTCTGAAAAACCCAGCATGGGGGATTCTCATAATCCGAATGCTCATGGACGCTATGCAAAAAACATATATAAAAAGCGTTGAATCTGGCAGGTTGTGTGGTGACCACCTGCGAGTTTCGCTCCTTGGAAGCGGCTTTGGTGCAAACATTAGCGTTTCGTCGACGAAAAATCCTGGAAATCTTTGGGAAACAGTTTGGGGTCATGAACCCGGCCGGACATGTGGTTACGGTGAAAAATCCCTTTTATGACCAATTTAGATCATTTAGGATGGTTACATTCCAGGACTGAACATGACAAATGTGGGCCCGGCCCTTTTTGAGCCTGAGTATGATACAGGGTCGGTGATTTGAGATGGTGGAGCAGCAATTGTGTTGTGCATTGAAAATTGAGTCACAGCGAAAAGAGTTTTTCACAACATTCATGATTTATACAAGGGTGTTGGTTCATTCTGGTGAACAATTCCATTTTGTACAAGCCCTCCATGCACATGTTTGACACGGATTTTGTTAAAGGCAACAGTTTCAATGTGGGGCCCCTAGTTCTATTTGTTGGCTTATGTTCAATCGTCTAATTTTCGAATACTTTGGATATATCTACCACAAACCATGTTTGAGCTAGTTAAATAAACTAACTGAAGCCCACCGGTATCATAAATCACATCCATTCTTTTTGGTTAAAGGTTCAATCCTGACCGACCAGATGTTACCTACAAGGTGACGCCTCCCAGGTTATAGAAATTGGTTTATAAACCCCATTAAGTATGGATATATCCCAAAAAGAAAACATAGTTATTGGAGTTATAAACCAACTTACCTATTCTTTGGGGGCACCACCTTGTATCAACTGGTGGCTCTCAAAATCGGTACAGTGACCCCTCCAGTTTTGTCCCAGGAATGCACATGGCAAGACGCTTGCTCGCCTGTCGTGGCTGGCTCGTGCAGTTGGAAACTGGGTGTGCCCTGGCCGGGTCTAAGCGGCCGGGCGGCAGTGGTTTTTTTTCCATTCGATCCCAAAAACCATTCATGGGTAATGGTCCAATTTTGGATGATTTTTTGGGGTACCGTCATTTTAGGAAATTTCATGAAAATCCCACCCGGATTGCAACCCTTTTTTGGTTGGGATAGAACCTGAAGGGCAAAACTAAGCTGAGGTAGAGACACTTGAATCCTCTTGATTTAACCAGTTTCTGCCGTATTTTGGGGTCTTGGGAGCCCCTGAATATTGGTCCCCAGCTTTTTTGGGTCTATGGGGATGAAGTTGCGACAATGGTGATTTTTCCCGAGCAATTTCAGTATTTTTTCGTGGATTCTTTATGGGATGGATGAAGCAGCTCTAATTGTTCAACCTAGGCCACTTTCAAGAATTGAAGATGTTTGTCGATGGGTCTTGGTGCCACTTTTTCATATACTGGATGGATTAGAAAGCCATAGGATCTTTGGTCTTTAGTCTGGGCCAAGGATGAGCTGATCCACCAAATCCATGAATTTGGATGAACAGTTTCAAACAATTGTAAGGTAAAATTGATGGTTTCACTTTCAGAGACATGTTGAATATCGTGATTAACCATGAAACTTACATTTGACGTTTCAGCAAATCATTTTTGTGTGATATTGGTTTCAACAAACTACTCTCGGTCTTTCAGGAAATTCACACATTGATAGTGTTGAGTTGAACGGGAAAAACATAATCAGATATATAAATGTGTATGTCCATATCTACAAACATATATACGTATGTATAATAGTGTACCGTATAATATATATAATACATATATATATATACGCCTATGTACACATATTTTTCAATATAAATAAGACATAACAGTTTAAGGAAAATAAAGCATCTAAAACACTGATAGACTGAGGCGTCCCTGTGGGCCCTGTGGGCCTTCGGTGCGCTGAGTTGGACATCGTTTTAGATGATCATTTCATGATGATAATCTGCTTCAACTATGTCCAATCAGTTGGACTTATGGTAATTTCATAGTTGGACATGATAATTTCATAGTTTTAGATGATCCAGTTTTAGATAATAATAATGGATAATAATTGATGATAATTTCATTATAATCCAGCTGAGTTAGATATTGTTTCCAACTGGTTCAACATGATATTTTGTCCAGTTTTTTAGATGATAATGAAAAAACTGATTATATTTAAGATAATCATGATAAATGTATAAGTGGTTGGTGGTTTGGAAAGCTGAGTTGCCCAAGCCACCTTCCAGCGGGTTCAGCTGTGCTGTCTAATCGGGGGCGTGCCGGTCTACGTTTAGCCATGGTGTTGGAACTTCCTGCTGCATTTGGTGACATCAATATCGGTAGTCGAATCAATCTGGTTGCGAAACTTTTGTGTTGGGACCCAAGTCATGATGGACACGGATTCCAAGCCTTGCATGATGGTACCTCCTTTTTGGCTGCCGGACTCTTGGATGGCTCTGGGGAGAAGTACACACTGTTGAATGGGGAATTTAGACGTCAGTACCCAGTACCTGTGATTGGTATCGATCAACACACGGTTGTTTTCAAGCACGACCCCCCGTCATGGTCATCACTTCATGCTACGGTGGAATTGTGTGCTGGGTTTGGTGGAATGACGCAAGGGATGGCTACATCTGGTTTTCATGCTATGGTTTCTGTCGATTGGAATGAACGATTCATGAAGCTTTATGATTGCCAGGGAAATGCTGAAACTGTCATTGGGGACGTGAATGAACTGAGCACTCTGATCCGAATGCAGAAGCTTGCCAATGGAGCTGGGACTTTGGTTGCAGGATTTGCTTGTCAGCCGTTCTCCCGTTTGGGGGATCAATTAGGTGGACTTGATGCAAGGTCCATGTGCTTGCGAGGGATCCTGGCCAGTGCTTACTATTTGCAAGTGCAGGCAGTGATTTTAGAGTGTGTTCAGCCGGCGTCCAACAACTCGTTTGTCATTGATGAAGTGAACAGGTTTCTCAAAGCTTCCGGATTCCATCTTTCGCAGTGTGATCTCAATTTGAGTGATGTCTGGCCTTGTCGACGTCCAAGAGCATGGTGGTTGATGACCTCGTCCCTCCTTGGTAAGGTACCATTGTCATCATGGCCTAGCATGAACCAAGTGACCAAAGTTCGACATGTTTTGCCTTCCGTTCAGCCCTGGGATGTGAATGATGAGGATTTGCTTGCCCTGAAAACAATTGAATCGGAAGCGTTTGGTGCTTTTGATGATACTTTTCATCGTTTCTTGCTCAACTTTGAAGGACATGCCCCTTGTGCTTTGCATAGTTGGGGTTCTCAATTGGTTGGGTGTGAATGCGGATGTCGTATCAAAGGTCTTTCAGAGCATCGGTTGAGAGAAAAAGGGTTATTTGGATGTTTGATCAAGTCATGCCAGACTGATCTCAAGAACAGTGTCTTGCGGCACCTGCATCCTAACGAAGTTATGATGCTTTGTGCATTCGACCCGATGATTGATTTTGGTGAGAACCCAAGGCTGACGCTTGCTGCTGCAGGCCAGATGGCCAGTCCTTTGCAAGCAGCATGGATTTTTGCAGCCTTGGATGAAAGGATCCAACAATTGCATGGCATGCCCATCCTGTTTGGAGCGGAAGCTCGCATTCAAGCATACATGGCATGGGTTTTGATGAGGGGACGACAAGTTTGGCCTGCTGATTTTGAAACCATTGATGACCCCAAAATTCTCTCTTTGATGCGATTCTGGGAAGAAGTTGGAACCAAGTCATTACATGAAGTGATGCATCCGCCTCACTGGCCAGATTTGCAACCGCATGACATCAACATTGCGACCATCCTTGACCATTTGATCTGTAGGAAACAAACTCAGATGCCTCGGCAGATATCATTTCCCGTGCTTCATGAGGATGTTGCTATGACGGTGTTGGATGAAGAAACCAATGATGTTGCGCCTACGCCATGGTTTGAAACCCCCCAAAGTCTGTTTGATGTTTTGCCGGAGGGTGTGCCAGATGAATGCTTGGTGGTTTTTCACCATGAATTTGCTGATCCTATTAAGGTCAAAGTTCACCAAGGGTCCACAATCCAGAACCTGCTGGATGCTCATGAGAACTTGGTTGGAGGTGTTCATGCCCTGCAAGCGTTTGATCGAACAGGCAATATCCTCCCGTTCACACATGTCCTTCAGCTGGGTCAGGTGATTTGTATCAGCTGTGATTGTACTCCTCCCTCGTCGGCTGATCCCATTGAAAGTGTAGGTGAGGTTGAAGTGATTTTGGATCCCCCTGAGCCGCACTTGCTTCATGGCCCCACTGTGCAAGCCGAGATTGAGCCAACCGTGAGTCCAACTGCCGTTTGGACGCATCCTGTACAGAATGCAGCCGATCCTCCACCTGGCCACTTTGGCCCTTGTGATGCTGGGGAATGTGCAGTCCCTCTGCAGCGTTTGCCTGACTGTGAATCCTGGGTTTCGGCGGCTCCTTTGCTTGGTTTGATTGGAGATCAGTTCAAAAAACTGCATGTTCCGGTAGTGCTTAACACGCAGCATTTGTGGTCTTTGAAACACCAACTGTTGCGAGCTGAGGACAGGGTCACAATTTTGCAGCACCAAGAAGGTGTGTGGTCAGATGATGAATTTCGATTTCATATCTCCAATCTGCTGCAGCTTCGAAGTGAACGTTTGCTTGTCAACAAAGAAATGACCTTGCGACAGCATTTTATGCTTGATCCCCTACTATTGACAGGTTGGACTCATCATGGGACCCACTTGTGCCAATCATGGGGCCAAGCGCACCCTGAAATCCGAGCCCAAAGCATGGTTATCCTGTCAGCATGCATGCTCAATGGACACTGGATTCCTGTGGTTCTTGACCCACAAGGTGACAAATTGCATTTCTCTACCTGGGATGCCCCTCAGAATGATCATGATGCACTGAATGGGGTGATTGACCAAATTGGACGTGCACTTGGTTTTGCTGGAGTGATTGGTTTGCGACACCATAGGTTGTTTTTTGCGTCAGAGAAATGCGGAGCTCTCGCCATGGCCTTTTTGCACCACAGTGTGCTTGCCTCTATGTTGCCGACTTGCAAGGAAGAGGTTGAGGTGATACATGAAGGTTATCGAAGCTCTTTTGCCCATGCAGTTTCCTCATGCCAACTTGCACGCAGACCATGGGTCTGGGGGGCTGGTGACTCTACTGATCCTCCTTTCAACAATGAACCTGGCATGTCTTCGTCAGGGCCTGACCCTGCGAACCCAGTGCCGATCGATGTGCCAGATGCTTGTAGATCCCATCAGTGCATTACGAAAGAGGCAAGATTGCAATTGCTGAGAGACAAAGGGAAAATGTGGGGCGATGATGAGATTCGGTTCCATTTGCTGAATATGATCAATCATCCCAACAATGTGTGCAATCAACCGTTTAGCTCCATTCCAGGGGTTTTCATGCTTGACCCGCTCCTTTTGACCACATGGGAGTCCATTGGCAAAACGTTGTGTGAAACCTGGTGCCAAAGACACAAGACAGTTCCGCTGAGAGGATTCCATGTCATTGCTGTCCTTTTGCATGAAGAACATTGGTATCCGGTATGGTTTGTTCCCCACGGAAGAACGATTGTTGTGCATGTCATTGATGATGGTATCACTGAGCCACAGATCATTCGACCGATGCTTGATGTTTTCCAGGAGCAATTCTCTTTTGAAGAAGCAGTGCTGCATACCTATCCTAGTCAACTGCCGAAGCACGATTTGTGTGGGGCCGCGGCTATTGCTTTCTTGGGACATGTCATTGTAGGAGCAGATCTTCCTTTTGATCTTGATGCATTGCATGATCTCCATTGTAACATGAAAGCAGGGTTTGTGCAAGCCCTGCATGAAGGACAGTGTTGCATTTGCCCGGTTGCTTGGGGTGCAGGTGGTACTGGCTCTTTGGTCAAATCACTGATTGCTGAACTTACCTTGCATGGAGTACCGGAAGACAAAGTTGAGCAACGTGCACAACAAGCCATCAAGGCCATTGGCAGTGAGCAAGTGATGGATGCCTTGTCCTCAAAAAATGTTTGGCGTGCATTGAAGATTTTGGGGAACAATGTGAAGTTCCAATTTCTCCTCCCTGATGAATTGCAACTGATGGCTTCCAACAACAAGAGTGCACCAGTTGGCAAACGAATGAGGAAGGGAACACCCAAAACCAAACCGGTGATGCCTGATACGGTTGACCCCTGCAAGTTGCGACTGCCGGACGGTGCATTCCAAGCCAAAGGGCAGACAGTGCCACAAATTGCCATTCAACAAATTGGTCCAATTGCGCATGGTATTGCCCTTGTTTCACTCGATGATGCTTTGCCTTATCTCAAAGCTGGAATGCAGGTTTCTGCTGAACCATTGGCCATTGCTGTTTTTCCTCCCCCAGGGATTGAAATTGAGACTGCCTTGCCTCATACGAAAGTTCTGGTGCCATGTGTGTGTGTACTGAACAATGAACCTATTCTCACTGAGGCCACGATTGTCCAGTTAGGGTCAGGGTTTGTGGAAAAGACAGTGGTGCCCGCCGCAATTTCCTTGGACCAGCTGGAGGTTGTGACAGTCAAAATCATGGTTTATAAGGATGAACACCCACATCCATGGGATGACTTCATTGCTTCGCCCATCAAGAATCTTGTGCGTGTGTTTCCAATCCTCAAGAGATGTCCCAATGATGCATGTGAGTGCCCTGCTTGGCATAACCCTGATGCACTGCCGATCAAAGACCCAATCATGGATGTTTGGCGAAGACAGTACCTTAATTCGGCCTTCAAACCTGTGGCGGCGAGCAAAGCTGATGTTTTCTCAGTTTGTTTGAGGGTGCCAGCGGTGATCATGCCATTGCTACTCTCGCAAAGTGGAACTGCGGGGGCATACACAGAGCCACGGACACCTGACGGCAAAGCCGTGCTGCCGCAATACGTTGTGATTTGGGCGTCTAAGCTCTCTCAAAGTGAGTTGGCACATGTC